ATGATAATAATGTTATACTTTGAACTCCTAATCATTTCCTTTCCTCAGATCTCTCGTTTCTACTTCCTCCCTTTTCTCTATTCTTCCTTTTCATCCGTTTGCTTTTCTTTGTGTTTCTTCTCTCACACATCTCTCCTTTTCCTTCCCTTTCTATCTCTTCCTTTTCCTTCCGTTTATAGGCCTCTGTTCCTTACTCTTTTCCTCCTTTTGAATCTTGGGCTTCCTTTTCCTCTTCTTCTAGCTCTCTGTTCCTCTCTCTCTGTCCCTACTTCATACTCTTCGTTCTCTGTCTGTTTTCGCGGTTATTTCCTCTCTTACTTTTTCTTGCGTTTATTATTCCTTATTTCTTATTCTTTACCTCTTTTCTCGAACCCCAAGGACACCCAGTTTACGTTTTCACCTTTCTGGTCTTTCTCTATTCTCTCTTCTCCTCGTCCGCTGTTTTTCTTCGTTCTATGCCCTTAGCTCCCCAGTTCTTCCCTTTTTTTCTATTCCTTTTCTCTTCTCCTACTCCCATTTTCCTCCTTCTCTCTCCGTTCCTCCCCCCCCCTTGTTCCCTTCTCCCAGTTCCCTCTCTTTCCCTCTGTTCCTTTTATTCCTATCCCTCCTCCCCCTATCCTACCGTTTTCCTTTTCCAAATTCCCTCCCTCTCCCTCTATTCCCCTTTTTCACCCTTCTCCCCTCTCCCCTTCTCCCTCACCCCCTTCCATTCCCTCTCCTCCCCTTCTTCACATTCACTCTCTCTCTCTCCCTACGTTCTTTCCCCCATCTTCTCCTCCTCCCCCCTGTCCCCTTCTCCCTATCCACACCCTTTCCCTCTTCCTCTGTTCGCTCGACGAAGAAGAATATAAGGGTGATGGATGTATTGTTCCTTGAAGCCCTACTTTAGTGCTTCTCTAGGGGGAACTATACAAATTTATCGATCTGTTTATTTATTCATTCATTCTTTTTGCATCTTTTCTTTTTCTATTACTTTTTAGTCTCTGTTCCTTTGTCAGTTTGTTTATTTATTCATTCATCTATTAATTTTTGTCTGTCTATTAATCTTCATATGTAACTAATCCTCTGAGATTTTGCAGTTTTTTCCTTCACATATTTCCTTCACATGTATAATATATATATATATATATATATATATATATATATATATATATATATATATATATATATATATATATATATATATATATATATATATATATATATATGTATATATAAATATACATATACATATATAAACTCTAGGATGAGAAATATTCGTATATTTTCTTCTTTTCGCGTTCTTTTCATGGTTATTTTTCCTTTTGTTTGGCTTCCTCGGGCTGCATGATTTAAAATTTTCTGTTTCCCTTCGACCTTCTTTCCTCTTTATGTCCTCTTCGTTTTTGTTGTTGTTGTTGCTAAGGGAAAGAGGGGAAGGAAGAGGAGAAGGAGAGGACGAAGGAAGAGAGAAGGAAGAAGGAAGGAAGGAGAGAAGAAAGAAGGAAGAGAGAAGGGAGAGAGAATGGAGAGAAAGAAGAAGGAATAGAAGGAAGGGGGGAAAGAGGAATAGGGGAGTAGGAAGATTGAAGGGAATTAAGGAAGGAACAGTAAAAAGGAGGATATATAAGAACGAAATGGGAAGTAGAAAAGGGAGGAGAAGAGAGAAGAAGAAGAAGAAGAAGAAGAGAGAAAACGATAGGAAAGAAGAATTTGATTTTGTTTTAATTCCATTTGTTACAATGAATATTCTTTGCTGTGACATACTGTCTGTTTTAGGAGGAGGAGGAGGAGAGAGAGAAGAAGAAAAAGAAGAAGAAGAAGAAGAGGAAAGAAGAAGAGGAGGAGAGAGAGAAAAAAAGAATAAGAAAAGGAAGAGAGAAGGTGATTGGAAAGAAGAAGAGGAAGAGGAGGATGAAGAGAGAAAAAAACAATAAGGGAAAAGATGGTAGGAAAGAAGAAGAGGAAGAAGGGGAGAATAATAATAAGAGAGAAGGTGATAGGAAAGAAGACCAGGAAGAGGAGAGAGAGAAGAAGAAGAAATGAAAAAGAAGGAGGAGGGCAGAGAGAGAGAGAAGAAGAAGAAGAGGAGGAGGAGAGAGAAAGAGAAGAAGAGAGAAGATGATAGGAAAGAAGAAGAGGAAGAGGAGGAGGAGAGAGAAAGAGAAGAAGAGAGAAGATGATAGGAAAGAAGAAGAGGAAGAGGAGGAGGAGAGAGAAAGAGAAGAAAGATGATAGGAAAGAAGAAGAGGAAGAGGAGGAGGAGGACGAGGAGAGAGAGAGAGAAGAAGAGGAAGAGGAGGAGGAGAGAGAGAGAAGATGATAGGAAAGAAGAAGAGGAAGAGGAGGAGGAGAAAGAGAGAGAGAGAGATGAGAAGAAGAAGAGGAGGAGGAGGAGAGAGAAAGAGAAGAAGAGAGAAGATGATAGGAAAGAAGAAGAGGAAGAGGAGGAGGAGGAAGAGGAGAGAGAGAGAGACGCACAGCTCTCCTCGTGTATTGACTGATGCACTTAGCGCACCGC